TCTGTTACTTGGAAAACTGTGGTAATTCTCAAGCTAATACATGCTGACAAGCGCTAGGGGACGGCCGCTCTGCTTTTGCACCTTGCTCCCTCTTATGCTGTGCTGGTGCCTCTGTGTGACCAGCGCCTCTTCCTCCAAACTGCACACGTCACTCGCATGACCTTGATTCCATGTGGGGTCTAGGACCTCATAATCCTCCACATCATCTTCCACCCACTCCTCAACCCTGTCCTCCTTGCCGGTATGCACACTGCAGAAAGCCACAGCAGTTGTCACCTATGTTTTTCCAGCATGTAAACTCTGCAAAGGACATATGGGAATTGTTTTAGCATTGAATACAGACAACAGTTTTCCCTATAAACTGACCTCTCAGTTTGACTTGTGAGGGTATTGCCCCCGAATTACAATATTGTTATATTGGTATTTGACGGTTCTATTTGACTGTCAGATATGAAATGCAGGCCGCAAATGTACTATTTAGCAACCAAAAAAAATTTGAATTGGTCAAACTGCGCTGTAACCACAGTATTTGATGGTTTTATTTGACTCTTAGATATGAAGTGCACACCCCAAATTTACTTTTTATCACCCAAAACAATTTGAATTTTTCAAAGTGCGCTGTAAGCACAGTATTTGACGGTTCTATTTGACTCTCAGATATGAAGTGCAGGCCCCAAATTTACTATTTAGCAGATTAGCACCCAGAAAATAAGAATGTTTACAATTGCGCTGTAACTGCAGTATTTGACGCTTCTATTTGGCTCTCAAATATGAAGAGCACGCCCACAATGTACTTATTAGGAGCAAAAAAATGGGAATTTGTCATTCCACAGGATTTGACGCTTCTATTTGACTCTCAGATATGAAGAGCACGCCCCAAATTTACTATTTAGCAGTTTAGCACCTAAGCAAATAGAATTTTTTCAACTCCGCTGTAAACACAGTATTTGACGCTTCTATTTGACTCTCAGATATGAAGTGCAGGCACCAAATTGACTTTTTAGCACCTAAAGAATTAGAATTTTTACAACTGCAATGTAAGCACAATATTTGACGGTTCTATTTGACTCTCATATATGAAGAGCACGCCCCAAATTTACTATTTAGCAGTTTAGCACCAAAACAATTCGAACTTTTACAACTGCACTGCAACCACAGTATTTGACGGTTCTATTTGACTCTCATATATGAAGAGCACGCCCCAAATTTACTATTTAGCAGTTTAGCACCAAAACAATTCGAACTTTTACAACTGCACTGTAACCGCAGTATTTTTTACGCTTCTATTTGACTCTCAGATATGAAGTGCACGCCCCAAATTTACTGTTTAGCAGATTAGCACCCAGAAAATAAGAATATTTATAATTGTGCTGTAACCACAGTATTTGACGCTTCCATTAAATGTATGCTTACTAATGCAAGGAGCCTAAATAACAAAATGGGGGAACTAGAGGCAGTAGCATACACTAAACAATATGATATAATAGGCATAACTGAAACATGGTGGGATGAGACACATGACTGGGCAGTTAACTTAAATGGGAACATGTTATTTAGGAAGGATAGGAAAAACAAGAAGGGTGGTGGAATATGTTTCTATGTCAATCATGATTTAAAGCCAAATCTTAAGCAAGTGGACTGTGATGAGGAAAATGTGGAAGCTTTATGGGTAAATATCTGCTTGGAGGAAAAGAAGGGAAACCAACTATTGGTTGGGATATGTTATAAACCACCTAATGTTAATATTGACGAGGAACAACAGCTGTTTGAGCAAATTAGGAAAGCTGCAAATCTGGGTAACACTTTAATTATTGGAGATTTTAATTACCCGGACATAAATTGGGATAGAGAGACTAGTAGCTCATCAAAGGGAATTAGGTTTTTAAACTTGTTAAATGACACCTTCATGTCACAACTTGTACAAGCACCAACTAGAATGGACGCTTGTCTGGACCTGGTTTTAACAAACAACGTTGATCTTTTGACCAACATTCAAGTAGGTGAGCACTTGGGAAATAGTGATCACAATATAGTGTCCTTTTGAAATAAACTCAAAAAAACAAAAGCACATGGGGTATACTAAAACATATAATTTAAAAAAGGCCAATTTCAATAAGTTAATGGTAGCTTTACAATATATTGACTGGCATAAACTCTTTAGTGAAAAGAACACTGAGGATAAATGGATCATCTTCCAACAAATATTAGAAAGGTATATTTCTCAGTATGTACCATTGGGTAATAAATATAAAAGAAACAAATTAAAACCAATGTGGCTTAGTAGAGAAGTAAAACGAGATTAAAAATAAGAAAAGGGCATTTAAAGCATTTAAATCGGACATATCAGATTAATCTTTTAAAAGATATAAGGAAGCAAATAATGCGTGCAAAAAGGCAATTAGATTTGCTAAACTTCAAAATGAAAAAATGAGCAAAACCAACCCCAAAACATTTTTTAGGTACATAAATTCTAAAAAAAAACAAAAATGAAAGTGTAGGAACACTTCCGCTATAAAACGTCCCACATACCATACTTTGTGTGTAGTATTGGTATTTGAGTGTTTGTATATAAAATTGGAGTTTGAATTCAGGTGTGTTTTTGTATGTAATGTTTGTGATTGCAGGGGTGTGTGTGCATGTTGTGTTGGTGTTTTATAGCTGGGATGGATGCACATACATGCGTACTTACATAGATATACATACACATTAACACACATTCATATACACACTGACACATACACACCATATCACACAGGTACACACATTCAGATACACACAGTGACACATACACACACCTGGACTTACAGATGCACACACTGACATATAAACACACACTCACATGCACACTGGCACATACACACACACAAATACTGATACACAGATACACACACACACTCAAATACACAACACACACTCAGATGCACACACTTGGATACATACACTGATACAGATATACACACAATCAGATACACTGGCACACAGATACACACTGACACACAGATACACACACCTAGACACACAAATACACACGCTGGCACATACACACTGAAACACAGATACACACACATTTTGATGCACCGATATATACACACACACACACACAGATGTACACATTGACACACATATGCACCCACTGACACGGACACACACACAATCTGACATACATAAACACATACATGTAAAAATGTTTGTATTTGCAGCCACCCTCCTGTTAGCTTAATTTGGTGTCCAGGATGGTAGCTTTCTTGGGGTTCCGGTCCTGTCTGAGGTTGAAAGCAGTGAGCGTGCTGTAGCAGCTCACTCCAGCCTCTTCTCTGCCTTCATGCTGCTGTGTGTAGCTGCCCCCAGCCTCCTCATCCTTTACTTCATTCCACCTCTCTCTCTAGTGAAGCTGAGAGCAAGTGACAGTCTGTCAATTCCTCCCACTCCACCGTATTGCAGACCCCTGCTCAGTGATAATACCCACTGGGTGTCCTTAAGTGCACGGGCCACTCCAAGGGTTAATTGCGGTGGATCCCCAATTGGGAAACGCTGATCTAGATAATAAAAAAAACATAATACAAGGCTTTAACACTTATGAATATTATGATGACACCAATCCAAGCAGTCCTGTTTCAAGAGTCACCCCACCATTAGTCCAACGTTGTACTGAAACACTAATGGCTTCAAACTGCTTAAGGGACCACTAGTCACCCAGACCACTTCAGCTCAATGAAGTGGTCTGGGTGCCAGGTCCCCCAGGTTGTAACCCTGCAGCTGTAAACATAGCAGTCATTGCAGGGTTAATCCAGCCTCAAATGGCTGTCTGACAGCCGCTAGAGGCACTTATGAAAATTGCATTGAGCATGCAGAACGTTCATAGGAAAGCATTCCTATGGGCGTTTTTTTAATGCGCACGCGGCTCTGGACGCGCATGCGCATTCGGCTCCACTCGGGAGCTGACGTTGGAGGGGGAGGCGAGGTCACCAGCGCCAAGGGAGCCCCTGAGCTTCACAAATGTAAGTGGGAGGGGGGGGGGACCTAAGGATTAGATAGTGTCAGGAAAACAATTGTCCATTTCTGAAATAATCATTTGTGTCTAGCTGTGACATCACTACTTTACAAGTCTGAATAATTAAAGTCCATTTATGGTATCCTTAATTTACAATTGAAGTTTGTAAGTTCTGACATTTTTACTGTTATTATCATTATTATTATTGCCATTTATATGGCATTAACTTATTAACTAGTGCTTTAGAATATTATGAAGGGGAGACTTGAACAACAATTGAGACAAACTATTATGAAGTTTGACAGGAACAATAAGTTGATGAGGACCCTACTCGAACAAGCTAACAATCTAAACTACACCCCTAAAACATGTCTTGTGTGCCCTAAGGAAGATCTGTATATGTGTTTATGCTATATAAAAT